TAAACAGGTATAAAATTAAGTTAAAAAAAAAAATTACAGCTGTCTGATCTAAAAATTAGGACTGAACCAGCAACTATTTCTTCACACTAGGCCCATCCCAAGTGAGATATTTCTACCCAGTGCAGTCCACACCCTCTTATGTCAGAGCTAAGCAAAGTTTTGGAATTAGATATCATAGGTAAATGATCTTATTTTATGTCATTATTATTTTTTCAGTTGATATTAGACCATAATAGTTGAATGGAATAGTGTGAATATTAAATAGTAAAAACATGTGAACTGAATGATTAGTCTGCATATGCACAAACAGTGAATGAGCAGTGAAATAAGTGAATGAACACCTTATATAGAAGTAAAAAGTATATGAATTGACACTAAATGGTTTACACTTGTAGCTTATGTTTAAATTGTACAAAATGATTGTTGTATTGAAATGTTGCACAAGAATTACTGTACATTTTCATGCTGCATTATCCTATAGGCTACACATTTTCTTATGGTTTTCCCCATGTTCTTAATTAAGTAATAATGTATATAGTTGTTTGTGTTTTATATTATAGCCTATATGTTGAACCACTTTGAAAATTTGAAAGATACAGCACACCAAGCTTATAAAAACCTTTCCTATTTGAAAAAAAACATATGTCCTGTGACAAAATAAGTGATATTGTGGACGTCAGTAATTTAATGTCAATTCAAACTCAATTCAAAATTTGCATGAGATAAGGCATCACAGGGATGGGTGTGTTGGCCTTTAGCCTGTGCATTGTCGTCACGGCAAACAGCCTACCAAACAAAAAATGCATTTATGTAATAATTAGGTAGTTATGTGGGATGTATTAAACATGAGCATGCATCAAAATACAACTGTGAATCTGCAATTTTATATTTGACACTGGCTTTTACTGACATATCATTTCGCACTACTGGGTTTATTTTTTGTTTTATGGACATTTTATACAGTAGATGGTTATTACAAGACGTTGTACTGAGATGGTCGATTTGAACGTGATTAAAATTACAGATAAGTCATTAATAGTAATTCAACTGGCAATTATTACACTATCTCGCTGTAAACAACTAAACTTGAATAGGGCTTTGGGTTACAAGTCAGTTGAGATATGATGTTGTATTGTTGAAAAAGCTGCATAGCCTAAATTAAGATTGTAGTGATTGTTCATTCTGAATAACCTCAAAAGGTTTGTCTACGTAAGTTGCTGTGTATTATTGTTAGTTTGTGCGTTGCTGAACATTCCAAGACACACCCTATACCATTATAACAATAAAACACGAGAGCAATCACATTTTTATGTGATAGACGTTATTCTTCCACATGCATCAAAGAGATTTTGTGACATTGAGGCTCACACCCTAAATCTATTATTATAAGAAAGAATACTGAGATTAGTTTGTGGCTAAGTATTTTGCTGTGCAGCAGTTTCAGTATCAGCATAGGCTATGTGCACACAATTATTAAATCAATACATTTCATTTATTAGCCTAATTAGGAATTTGACTGGAGAGCATATTATCATAGTCAAAATAATGATTTCATTGCACGTTTGATGATTATCATGTCACCAATTGTCACATCCTCTCTACTTCCAATTCTGAGATTTCAAGATGATAAGTTTGTGCAGAGAAGGTTGTCAGTTGGCAGAGAGGTGGGGTGGGATCCCAGGTCCTGTGATAACATACAGTGACAAAACATTTGTTGTAGAAACAGTTTTCACTCAGAAATTGCTAGTAAATGTCACAAACAATTAGAAAGAAACAGCAAGTAACACATTGAATTAAACATGAAATTTGTATGTTGATAAACTGAAACAGTATTTTCTTGTTAAACATACTGTAATAATCTCTAAAAAAAAACTTCACAACTTAAGAGCCAAAAATTGTTATAGTATTGCCATGAATTTACTAATCAAATAAAAATATTAATAATAAATATATTGTAATTAAATAATTTTAGCTGTACATTGTATAATGTTACTGAAAATATAGCTTTTTTAAAATAACAATTTTTTTTAATTCAACTTTTGAAACAAACTTTTTTAAATGAAATGATTATGGCCTAATTTAAATTAAATAGGACCTTTGAATATGTAATGTATGTAGTAAATTAAATCAGATTTATTCTATTTCTTATCTATTTCATTAAACCTTTTATAAGGCTAGTTTTAGTTCACCTTTTATTTCTTTAGGCTTTATTTTATTTTACATCAAAATAGGCACATTGTTGTCACCAAAACACCTTTTATTATCCTGACAAAAAATGAATTCTTGACATTCATGTAATCAGCATTGTATTTACACCCTTCATTGTGGATAGGAAATAATACCATCATGCTTCTGTATTGCGTACTTCAGGGTTCGGTCGTTGAACTACACTTTTTACCACACCCTACACGTCAACATACCTTTGATATAGTATCGCACAAAATTGCTCTTTTCAGTCTGTTACTTTTGAACTAAGAAGACAAATCACACCGAGCTTTGCAATACCGTTTGGTGTACATGGTTATGACTTTAAACAGCAGAAGGAGGTAGGTGAATGATTGCATATAAAATGATTGAAATCATACAGCATATAATACTGTATAGCACTCAATAATACATAATATTCAATACAACATTTATACTATGTAAAAATGTTATATGTTTAAAATAGCCCCTGTGTCTGCTTTTGTGATTTGTTGTAAACTTGTATTAACTTTAAAGCAATTAAGAATTTAATTAAGAATGCCTTTTAAATTACAATTCAATTCTTAAAGTTGAATTTCAAATGAGGTACCAAGTAAGGAAGTAGAATTCAACTTTATTAAAAGTTTTTAAAAATTCTGTCATTTTCATCTAAAAAAGCAAGAATGTTGGCTTGACAAAGCCTTGTTTGATGAAAAGTAGAGTAAAAAAAAAAGTTAAACAGAGAGACAGACAGAATGATAGACAGACTGACTGACCGATAGACAGACAGACAGACAGACAGACATAAGATAGATAGATAGATAGATAGATATATAGATATAATTGAGGCCAATTAGATTAAATTAAAATTCCATCTCACAAATTGAAGTAACCCAGTTATTAAATTTGGAATGATGTCGAACCCATTTTGAGCTTTAATAGATGATAATTAAATCAGTAATTATGAATAATTACTGGTGACATCACATTCATACATTGGTGACCTAATGCTGTATAGACTGTTGGGTAGTACACTGGATAGATGGCAAAAGTATGCATTGAGGCTACGTATTCAGTCACCAGGGGGTGCTCATTGAAATCTAGACTTTTGAAATCTAAAATGACAAATAGGACACCCTATGGCAGTGGTTCCCAATCCTGGTCCTGGAGAACCCCCAACACTGCATATTTTAAATGTCTGGCTAATCAAACAGATTAGTAAAAACTCCAAGACCTCAAATGTGTGTTTTAGATAAGAGAGTCATCAAAAACGTGCATTGTTGGGGGTTCTCCAAGACCAGGATTGGGAACCACTGCCCCCAACACTGCAAATTTTAAATGTCTCCCTAATCAAACACACCTTATTGAACTCATCAGTTCATTAGTATTAACTCCAAGACCTCAAATGTGTGTTAGATAAGAGAGACATCAAAAACGTGCATTGTTGGGGGTTCTCCAGGACCTGGATTGGGAACCACTGCCTCCAACATTGCACATTTTAAATGGTTCCCTAATCAAACACACCTGATAGGGATTGGGAACCACTGCCCTATGATGCTGTGGACTTCACAGGCATTAGCATGTGGCAGTCATATCAAAACCATGAATACACATCAGATGTTTCATGAGCATTGATTAGAGCTGATAAAACTGCAAATTCATGCCAAAAGAAAGTTACGAAACAATTCACAGTCATCTGGATCAGCATTTTCCTCTGTGTTAATCATGAACAGCTTTCCTCTAACCTTAAAGAACACTGTAAATGACCATGAATTTAACGGTAAAAGACTGTAAAAATGCTACAGTAAAAACCTGTTAAATGGTTAATGGTAAGTTCCCCTACTATATACGGTGAAAACCTGAATTGGACATCACATGTAATTTTACGGTAGTATACCATTTTTGGAAGTCAGAAAAAGAAAGTATAATTTACAGTGAATAACCATAGATTGACATTCCCAGCATTCCCTGCGTTATATTTCAAATTTGATGTTTTGGTTGAAATAACTATGTTTCTTCTTAGTTTTTTTTATTATCAGTTTTGTACATTAGGGTTGTATGTTACATCTAATGTTGTTAAATTAATGTTTATTGCATTATTTCAGTTTTATGTGTGTTACCATGATGGTGTTTAGTGTTTGTGTGAATGACACTGTGCATGGGTTTGATTCCCAGGGAATGCAAGCTGATAGAAATGTATATACCTTGAATGCAGAGTCCAACTGGTCCCTAACATATAATGTAAACTGGGCTGACTGAGAACTTTGTATTGACTAACAGTGCTTCTTCATATAATTATACTCCTTAAATACAATTACATTCTTTTTTAATAAACACAATGATTTAGAAGTTGCTTTCAGTAGCATGAATACATGAATGTTTTGTAATTTATTAAATACATAATATAAATTATTTGTCTTCAATTTTAGGTGGTGTTTCATTTCAAAATATGAGGCCAGATGGACTGTATTCCTCACCATATGTACGTATACTCTTAATCTGGATATTATGTGTTGAGAAATTGTTAATTATGTGACATGTAATCAAATGCTATAAAAATGTTCATGGAATTTAATAATAGTCTAATTTGAATTTTAAATGGTCAAAAGTTAATACAGTAATGAAATGTATCTTTTTTCTTGACAGTATATGTATGGTGCATTGTTTGTGGAGGTACATCCTCCATAACACCAACAACACCAGTTTCAACAGCCAATGAAGTTTGTGTAATAAGAACTAAAGCATCTATTACCACAACTATGACCCTCAAACAAAATACATGCATAGCTGTGACTTTCACAACTACATCTCCAACAACTACTGATTCAATATCAATTGCATCTACAACTGAGGCTTCTACAGAAAATGCACCTTCAACAACAGCTACAGGTCAAACAGCAATGTCATCTTCAATGACAACAGAAACTGGAGCTTCCACAACCACAGATGTGATCCCCACAACCACTCCCATATCCTCGCCAAGTACAACAACAGCACCATCAACAGAAACTGAAGCTTCCACAACCATAGATGTGATCCCCAGAACCACACTCATATCCTCATCCAGTTCAACTGCACCTTCAACAGCAAGAAATGCTGCTTCAACAACAACAGCACCATCAACAGAAACTGAAGCTTCCAAAACCATAGATGTGATCCCCACAACCACTCTCATATCCTCACCAAGTACAACAACAACAGCACCATCAACAGAAACTGAAGCTTCCACAACCAAAGATGTGATCCCCACAACCACACTCGTATCCTCATCAAGTACAACTGCACCTTCAACAGCAACAAATGATGCTTCAACAACAGCACCATCAACAGAAACTGAAGCTTCCACAACCATAGATGTGATCCCCACAGCCACACTCATATCCTCATCAAGTACAACTGCACCTTCAACAGCAAGAAATGCTGCTTCAACAACAACAACAGCACCATTAACAGAAACGGAAGCTTCCACAACCATAGATGTGATCCCCACAACCACCCTCATATCCTCACCAAGTACAACAACAACAGCACCATCAACAGAAACTGAGGCTTCCACAACCATAGATGTGATCCCCACAACCACACTTATATCCTCAGCAAGTACAACTGCACTTTCAACAGCAACAAATGATGCTTCAACAACAACAGCACCATCAACAGTAACTGAAGCGTCCACAACCATAGTTGTGATCCCCACAACCAGACTTATATCCTCAGCAAGTACAACTGCACTTTCAACAGCAACAAATGATGCTTCAACAACAACAGCACCATCAACAGAAACTGAGGCTTCCACAACCATAGATGTGATCCCCACAACCACACTTATATCCTCAGCAAGTACAACTGCACTTTCAACAGCAACAAATGATGCTTCAACAACAGCACCATCAACAGAAACTGAAGCTTCCACAACCATAGATGTGATCCCCACAACCACACTCATATCCTCACCAAGTACAACTGCACTTTCAACAGCAACAAATGCTGCTTCAACAACAACAGCACCATCAACAGAAACTGAAGCTTCCACAACCATAGATGTGATCCCCACAACCACACTCATATCCTCACCAAGTACAACTGCACCTTCAACAGCAACAAATGCTGCTTCAACAACAACAACAACAACAACAACAACAACAACAACAACAACAACAACAACAACAACAACAACAACAACAACAACAACAACAACAACAACAACAACAACAACAACAACAACAACAACAACAACAACAACAACAACACCTTTAACAACTGAAGTTTCAACAACTGCAGATCTGAACCCCACAACCATGTCTGTATTCTCTGCATCTACAGCAACAGATGAAGTTGCACTGTCTTCGACAACTGAAGCTTCTCCAGCTGTGTCTCCCACAACCACTCTTATATCTTCAGTAACTGCACCTAGAACAACAACTGCTGCTCCAACACCATCCTCAACCACTGAAGGTTATACAACCACAGCTGTGACCTCCACAACCACTCTTATATTCTTAGACACTACAACAACAGCAAATACTGCTCAAACAACTAAATTTTCAACAACAAATGAAGCTTTAACCACCACAGCAGTGAATCCCACAACTATGCCTGTATTCTCAGTACCTATAGCAACAGAAAATGCTGCTCCAACAGAGACACCATCTTCAACAATAACAATTGAAAATTACACAACCACAGCTGTGACCCCTACAACCACACTCATATTCTCACCAACTACAACTGCATCTTTAACAGCAACAAATGCTGCTCTAACAACAATAGCACAGTCTTCAAATACTGAAGCTTCAACAACCACAGACTGGAACCCCACAACTATGCCTGTATTCTCTGCACCTCCAGCAACAGACAATGTTGCTCTAACAACAACTCCACTGTCTTCGACAACTGAAGCTTCTACTACCACAACTGTGAACCCCACAACCACTCTTATATTTTCAGAAACTACAACAACAGCAAAAGCTGCCCCAACAACACCATTGTCAACAACAAATGAAGCTACAACCACCACAGCAGTGAACCCCACAACCACACCTGTATTCTCAGTACCTATGGCAACAGAAAATGTTGCTCCAACAGTCACACCATCTTCAACAATAGCAGCTGAAGTTTATACAACCACAGCTGTAAACCACACAACCACACTCATATCCTCACCAACCACAATTGCACCTTCAACAACAACCAATGCTGCTCCAACTGCAACAGCACAATCTTCAACAACTGATGCTTCAACAACCGCAGCTGTGCATCCCACAACCGCTCCTGTATTCTCAATACCTACAGCAACAGAAAATGCTTCTCCAACAACAACTCCACTGTCTTCGACAACTGAAGCTTCTGCTACCACAGCTGTGAGCCCCACAACCACTTTTATATTTTCAGAAACTACAACAACAGCAAAAGCTGCCACAACAACACCATTGTCAACAACAAATGAAGCTACAACCACCACAGCAGTGAACCCCACAACCACACCTGTATTCTCAGTACCTATGGCAACAGAAAATGTTGCTCCAACAGACACACCATCTTCAACAATAGCAGCTGAAGTTTATACAACCACAGCTGTGAGCCCCACAACCACACTCATATCCTCACCGACTACAACTGCACCCTCAACAGCAACAAATGCTGCCTCAACTGCAGCAGCACAATTTTCAACAACTGAAGCTCCAACAACCGCAACCAGGAATCCCACCACCATGCTTGTATTCTCTGTACCTCCAGCAACAGAAAATGCAGCTCCAACAACAACTCCACTGTCTTTGGTGACTGAAGCTTCTACTACCACAGCTGTGAACCCCACAACCACTCTTATATCCTCGTCTTCAACAACTATGGCTTCTACTACCACAGCTGTGAGCCCCACAACCACTCTTATGTCTTCAGAATCTACAACAACACCTTCAACAGCAACAAATGCTGCTCCAACTGCTGACACTTCAACAACTGAAGCTTCAACAACTGCAGCCAGGAACCCCACAACTATGCCTGTATTCTCAATACCTACATCAACAGAAAATGCTGCTCCAACAACAACTCCACTGTCTTCGACAGCTGAAGCTTCTACTACCATAGCTGTGAACCCCACAACCACTCTTATATCATCAGCAACTGCACCTACAACAACAACAAATGCTACTACACCACAATCTTTGACCACTGAAGGTTATACAACCACAGCTGTGAACCCCACAACCACTCTTATTTCTTCAGAATCTACAACAACAGCTGCTCCAACAGCACCATTGTCAACAACAAATAAAGCTACAACCACCACAACAGTGAACCCCACAACAACGCCTGTATTCTCAGTACCTACAGCAACAGAAAATGCTGCTCCAACAGAGACGCCATCGTCAACAATTAAAAGTGAAGCTTATACAACCACAGCTGTGACCCCAACAACCACACTCATATCTTCACCAACTGCAACTGCACAATCTTCAACAACTGAAGCTTTAACAACCGCAGCCAGAAACCCCACAACCATGCCTGTATTCTCTCTACATCCAGCAACAGAAAATGTTGCTCCAACAACAACTCCACAGTCTTCGACAACTGAAGCTTCTACTACCAAAGCTGTGAACCCCACAACCACTCTTATATCCTCAGCAACTGCACCTACAACAACAACAAAGGCTGCTACAGCACAATCTTTGACCACTGAAGGTTATAAAACCACAGCTGTGAGCCCCACAACCACAGAAAATGCTGCTCCAACAAAGACACCATCTTCAGCAATAACAACTGAAGCTTATACAACCACAGCTGGGAACCCCACCACCATGCCTGTATTCTCTGCACCTCCAGCAACAGAAAATGCTGCTCCAACAACTCCATTGTCTTTGACAACTAAAGCTTCTGCTACCCAAGCTGTGAACCCCACAACCACTCGGATATCATCAGAAACCACAATAACAGCAAAAACTGCTCCAACAACACCATTGTCAACAACAAATGAAACTTTAACAACCAAAGCAATAAACCCCACAACCATGCCTGTGTTCCCAGCACCTACAAATGCACCTCCAGCAACAGAAAATGCAGCTCCAACAACAACTCCACTGTCTTTGGTGACTGAAGCTTCTACTACCACAGCTGTGAACCCCACAACCACTCTTATATCCTCAGCAATTGCACTTACAACAAATGCTGCTACAGCACAATCTTCGACCACTGAAGTTTATGCAACCACAGCTGTGAGCCCTACAACCACTCTTATTTCTTCAGAATCTACAACAACAGCAAAAGCTGCTCCAACAACACCGTTTTCAACAATAAATGAAGCTTCAAGCACCACAGCAGTGAATCCCACAACCACGCCTGTTTTCTCAGCACCTACAGCAACTGAAAATGGTGCTCCAACAACAACTCCACTATCTTCAACAACTATGGCTTCTACTACCACAGCTGTGAGCCCCACAACCACTCTTTTATCTTCAGAATCTACAACAACACCTTCAACAGCAACAAATGCTGCTCCAACTGCTGACACTTCAACAACTGAAGCTTCAACAACTGCAGCCAGGAACCCCACAACTATGCCTGTATTCTCAATACCTACATCAACAGAAAATACTGCTCCAACAACAACTCCACTGTCTTCGACAGCTGAAGCTTCTACTACCATAGCTGTGAACCCCACAACCACTTGGATATCATCAGAAACCACAATAACAGCAAAAGCTGCTCCAACAACACCATTGTCAACAACAAATGAAACTTTAACAACCAAAGCAATAAACCCCACAACCATGCCTGTGTTCCCAGCACCTACAAATGCACCTCCAGCAACAGAAAATGTGGCTCCAGCAACAACAGCACAGCCTTCAACAAATGAAGCTTCTACAACCACAGTTGTGAATCCTACAACCATGCTTGTATTTCCAGAACCTCCAACAAATGCTGCACCACCAACAACAGCAGTAACTCCAACAACTGATGCTTCTACAGTAACAGATGTGAACCCCACATCCACACCTTTCTCCTCAGCAAATACAAGTCCACCTATAACAACAATAAGTGCTGCTCCAACACCATCTTCAGTCACTAAAGATTATACAACCACAGCTGTGACACCCACACCCTTGCGTGTTTTTTCAGGACCTACAATTGCACCTCCAGCAACAGAAAATGCTGTTCTTACCTCAACACTTCCTTCAATATCTTCAACTTCTTTTGTATCACCAAGCACAACAATCATATCTCCTACCACAATACCACTTTTCACAAAAACCAGAACTGCTGCAGCAACAACATTTGTCACACCCACAACCATGCCAATGTTATCAGAATTTACGAAATCATTTCTAACAACCTCACCTTTGCTAAATGCAACAACAAATGCAGTGACTCTGACTAGTCTTTCAGAAACACAAAATACAGCTCCAACTGCATTTGTATCTCAAAGCACAAAAACAACTGTGTCTTTAGCAACCACTGAAACTACTGCACCAACCATTATATTTGTAACTCAAGAAACCACAATGCCATTGTCAACGTCAGCTACTGGTGCTTCGCCAATTACAAGTGTGACTCCAATGACTGCATCTGGAGTTAAAACAAGTATTCCTATAAACTCAGCTGCTACAATTGCATCAACTCAAACAACAGCAGCGGTGGCAAGCAAAATGCTATTCAACTCCTCGTCTCCAGTCCCCAGTGAATCTCAGGTCATGAGTGCTATCAATACTCTCCTGAAATCTAGAGAGTCACAGCTCAGTGAATCCTTGAAGGTCGTGAATGTCACCTATGAGAGTAAGTGTCATGATTATCACATAAAAATTGAAATGAGAATGAATCAAACAGTTATATACTGCTGCAGGATCTTTGGCGAATCTAAAAAGTAGCATTTCTCTCTAAACAGAAATCTCAGAAACCTCATATGCTGTGTTAGTCACATTTCACGTGGTTAACATCAGCATGCCAGAAGACCCTGATCTCAGAGGCGACACCTACCAGCAAGTGAAGGATATCATCAATGATGCGGTAAACATTAAAAATGAACAGTATAAAGAGTTTTAGATCCAATGCCTTTCTTCCCCAGAGGTTGATGAATGGTCTGATTTTTATCCTGCAGCTGAACACTCTTCTGAATGAACCTGGCAAGATTGTTTTTGAACCCAAGTCTTCCAATTTTACGTAAGATGCAATCTGATTTCTAACTATGAATTGTATTTTTCATCCACAATGTTTATTTAGTGCCTCATGACTTTCCAGGGCATTAAAAAAGCCAATATTTGAAATAAAATTAAAAAAAATCTAAAAGTCTCATTAAAGCTGTATTATGCATAGGAATTTAAGCACTTCACAAATTCAGTATCTCTTCTGCTTTTCCTGTAGGAGCTCTTCAAATCAGATTGATGGCGGGATGGACTACACCTTCCAGGATGGAGATGCCATACAACCAGTCAGCTTCCTAAATGAGCTACGTCTGCCAACCACTACAACAGTGCTTCCAGAAACAACAACAGGTTTCACTGTGACCCCTTCAAGTCTCATGTAAGTGTTGGTTTTCACATTTTTAGAACAATCAAAAATGGAAAAGGAATTTTATTGCAAACATTTGATGTACATTAAACCAAAGGGGTTTTATTTACAGACCTGGTTCAGCAGTGGTCACAAGCAAGCTGGTGTTCAACTCCTCATCTCCAGTCCCCAGTGAAGCTCTGGTCCTCAGCGCTATCAACACTCTCCGTAATTCCAGAGAGTCACAGCTCAGTGAATCAGTGCAGGTGGTGAATGTCACCTATGAGAGTAAGTGTCTTGTTTGAAGGTTTAAATCGTTTTGAAACGGGATTGAGTAAAACTGATATGAATGACAATATTTT